CACCTCTGATGCCTTCGAAATGGACAAATTGAAATAGCTAGCTGGAGAAATGTAAATAACCGTACGCTTTCTTGCTGAGTGTTTGTACCTGCAGTCTTGAAAATGATTAATGGCACCGAATGAGCATCCGGTGAGGTACGGCAAAACTCACGGCAAACTTATATCACTAATCACGCTTTTGTCCAGCTACCTTTTCGATTTATTTACGATTACTGTAAATTTACTTATTTGTGGTAAATATGACCGTAGTTCGTGACATTAAATGGTAATAAATTCCGATGGCGCTCTTCAGGTGTTTAGATAAGCTGTCACTCTGATATCACTCTATTTGCTTAAAAATTAATTTTTGTTTTGCCCGGTATACGACATACTACATACCCCTTAACTGTATGGTTGGACACCATGGGTGGATGACATGATATCATCGATTCTGACAGACCGGGCTCCTTGTATTCGCCGTGCGGTCGGCTAAGATACACCTAGGTCTGGGTTACATTGTATATCGATGACAGTTGGACTGGCCTGCGCCTAGTGCAAAACGGCATGGATAGAAGTCATATGCTCCCCTCCTTCCTCAATTCCTTAAGTAGTAATAAAGTCGATTGTATTTCACGTGACAGCATGATGAGCAGGAAAACATAATTTGTTTATGACCGTAAACACTATGTTACTTGTAGGCAAAATCGTGTTGTGTTGTGCGTTGTGCATGGTTGAGTCTTGGTTTTTAGTTTCGTCCATAACCGCCGACAGCAGCCTCTTCGCCAGCAACGGCTCTGTGATGACAGCTCCGTTGAACACGATGCTGATCAGTCCTGACTATTACGTTCAGGAGACGCCAGCGAAAGTAAGCAGCAGCGGAGACAGCGGATATTGCTATTTGCTAGCCTGTGATTCGCAGAAATATGCAAACTACCAAAGCCAGTCAATGCAGTACGGCAGCGGCGGCTGCAATGCGTACAGCATACTATACCCTCAGAATTCATGGATGAATCCTCAGTTATCCGCAGCCGGTCAGGCAGCGAATCAATTGTACAACCTCCGAAATACGGTAGGAGCCAATGCAAATACGAACGCACTGACGTTGACCGGCTATCCGAATAAGCGAATGCTTTGACGTACCGGTTGAGCGTATCAGAACTGAGTTGAGTACCGGTTGGTTAACACGTTTGAGGTTGTGATCTGACGTTCGCCGTTGTGCTGGCGGCATTCAGACGCCGTTCGCCAGTCTTGTACGTATCGATGTGTATATTCGTGTGAATACGTCTGCGAAACGGTGAAGCCGGTTGTGAAGAGTATAATCGCCAAAATGCGGACGTGTATTAAATATGAAATAAGTGTTGTTCTTAAGTCGGTCATATTCGGTCCGATTGCATAATCGTTTCAATCAATTAATATCCGCATGGTCAGCAGTTCTACGAATCTAATTCTACGAAACTTTACTTTTAAAAATCTTTCTTTAAAACAACGCAAATACGTCACCCAACAAAGGATCGGAATCGATCATTTGCCTTTCAAATCGATGACGATATGATGTACAAACTGTGGCGAAAAATGCTAGCTGCTTTTCATCCAGACATCATCCGTAAACTATGGTTCTACAACGTGGTCCGTTCATCGTGCTATTAAGGGTAGTAAGATTTTCTCTGTTGTAGGGTTGTAGGGTTTCACAGGACCTTCGATCCTTTACCTCCAGAGTTCCTTTGTCCTCAAAAGACACACCTTAAAAGTACAATGAGCATTTTCAACTGATTACAGGAGTCTCTGTAGTCGGCCGCTATGATATGAACCGTAGGCTTCGGCACCTTGTTGTAATTCACCATTGGATGCCTTGCTTGATCTCAACCGTTGATGCCAAAAGACAGTTATGCACTCTATAAACAGCTGTTTATTATTGATTAGAATTCAAATTGTCCTACAGCCGAAGATGGGCAGTGATGGACATTCAAATTCAGGTCTTGTCCAACTGTCACGTTCAGACATCGAAATCGAAAGGTTCGAATGAAACGGACACGTTTCGTGATTCTACGATATGCATAACTTCGTTCAAATGCGCGCCGATCATCATCCGAATGCAAACATATCATCGAGCTGCATAGACTCCGTTGTTGTGTTGGATCTGATTGGCTACGGGTTCTCTTTTGCCACAGTCTAAAACACGATTAATCAATTTCCGTGTCCTGCCAATGTCGAAAGGGCAAAAGCACAACTGTGACAGCTAACGTTTCGATTGTTTTATAGATTCATTCTGTCGATCATGGCGATCGAATCTGTGCTCTTAAAACCATGACAGTCTTCCGGTGGTAAGCAACAAATCCTGAACGTTCATGGCTGCCAAGCGTTCCTCTGTGTTTGTCTCTGTGGCCTTTAAAGATCAACGAATGTCGAGAGTGCAGATTCGCTTGCACTTACTCCGGGCAATTTTATGTACTACATTTTTGGTGTCGCTGCTGGAGCGATGATCAAGCATTTTGTGCAACAGGTTCCCAAAAAAAATCATGCCCTGCAGACGTATCATTCGTTACTGTCCGAAATGAATGAATCGCTCCTCCCAAACCAGATTGCACCGCCCCTTCCTGGTTGCCCAAGGGGTGGAGCATTCGAGTATTGGGCCATAGCTCCATGGCATTTGAGCACATGCAGTGAGAGGTGCAGCTACAGCCACCTCAAGCTTATCACGAACGAGGTCACACAAACTGGTACTCGTCATACGCTACTTCATGAACCTCATTAGTTGTTCGTACGCAGAGTAGGTAACATAGCGAATGACTTCTCCAAGACCAGATCTCGCGGCGTACTGCACTGCCGCTTTGCTTACACTCGCCTAGGGTGACCAAAGGAAAAAGACGATTCCATGGTATGCAAGCATTTTACGGTGTACATCAACAAAATCTGCCGCTATCCGTAGGCAAACGTATACACAAAACCTATCTCAGGTATTCTGGGAGTACGTATCACATTCTAGCCATCCAATTCAGCCGATAATCATAACAATTCAACTTCCGATACCGGAGTTAGTAGACTCGAACGAGCCTCTGTTGAGTTCAACTCAGTGATCAGCCCTAGCATGCAATGCACTGCAGGTGCTGAAGTACCACGCAGCCGAGTCCTGCACAAATCATTCCTCCAGGCCACTACAAGCAACTGAGAAAGGAAACAGTGTGCTTAAGCCTAGTAAATCCGATATCAGAAATTGAAACTTCCTAACTACTGACGAGATTGAACAGCTGCAATGTAGTAACTACCACAAAAGACTGCGGTTATATGAAAAGTGTAAAATTGTAAAACTGTAAATTTAAACTGCCCTGTTCACCACAGTTGCTTCGACAGCAGTCGACCGGCGATGTTTTAAACGAATAACTCTGGTCTTCAAAAAGTCAAATAATGCTGAAAAATGCTTACGGCACAAGAAAATAAGTTGTCAACTAGTAGTAGTACTTATTAACGTAAGTATTAAACATTATACAATTATTTATGCGTACCATAAACTGTTATTGGTTCTGAAAAATAATGCGTTTTTATATCCAAGCATTGCAGGTGCTAAAATTCCACGGGGCCTGACCTACTTAAACGGTTCTTTAGGTTACTACGAGGAAAAAGCGGTGCGACTACCCAGTGTACCTCCGGAGAAATGATAGGAGAAATAATTTACTCTTATAAAATGCTTTTGATGGTGCTTTCATTAGCAAAAAGCATTCAGCTCGAAAAACTTATGACTCATTTGTGACCATCTGCTTGCTATGAATAATTTCCTTTTTGTTTGTCGTAAGCAGTAGAATTTAAACAGGTGCCTGCACCCTCAATAGTGCGGTTGCTGAGGGAATTTTCTTTCGTTCACGGCTTCATTCAGCGGTTGCAATTGACAGAATTTACTGAACAGGATAAAAATGCAATATGATGCTCATTTCCAGGTTGCTACGGAAAGGATGCTGATCACGCAACCAGACTGAATAGTAATTAGATTACAATTTCGAACGTCTTCAGTTATTGGTATATCAATAAGGTAAAATAAATCACAGCTTTCAAGAACGTTTTCGTCCGTTTCAATTTTATTAACTACCACAATCTGAGTAATGCATGTCAATCTTCTTATCCTCACTATATAGAGTGCGCAGATAATCAAACAGCTAACAAAAAACTTAATACAAGTTCCGTATAACAACAGGAGGTGAAAAATCACTTTGTATAGATTTCCTATATTTCCTATATCACTTTGTATAGATTTCCTAGATTATGTTTCCATAAAGTTGAGATCGACTTGCAGTTTGAGACCAGTTCATCGTGTGTGGCTGTACCATAAAACGCTCAATAAGTAGAGAATAAGATTCCTCTCTTCTTGCAGATGTCGACAACTTTATGCTTAATATAGGATTTGCTACAATCTGGACACTATATACCGTGATAACCCACTTTTAAAACAGCAGACGCTACTATAGGCTCGTTTTAAATTAACTTCCCCAGCGTTCCGCTACTTAAACACTCTTTTTAGAAATAACCACTGAGAAACAGAGAAACATGTGACAGAGTAAGAG